CTCACAAGCACAGACTTTGTTACGTTTCACTTAAACAGTTTGCAACTGCATTCACAAATGAGACATCCTGAAATGATTCTTTCCTTTACAATCTTTGCCAGTTTTTGATGTTGACATAGTTTTACATCATTTAAACAAGGTACCTTGAAACTATAATTGACTGAAAGAAAAGAAAGTGTGCTCAGGCGTGTCTGATACTCTGTGATCCCCGGGCTGTAGCCCACCCGGCTCCTCTGTCCATGGCATTTTCCAGGCAAGAGTACTGGAGTGGGTTTCCACTTCTGCAGGTGACCTTCCCAACCCAGGGACTGAACCCAGGCCTCCTGCACTGCAAGCAGATTCTTGCATTCTGATACCATTTGAGCCACCAGGGAAGCTGACTGAACCTTCATTAATTTTCTTTTTACTTGGGGATGGAGGACAAGGAGAGGGAGAAGGAAGGGACAGGAAGCTTGACCAAGTCAGTGACTCTCCAGCATTTTGACCCCACGGATATTTTCCATGTTCGTAAACTACTAAAGACCTCAACGGACAGGGAGGCCTGGCATGCTGCAATTCATGGGGTCGCAAAGAGTCGGACATGACTGAGCAACTGAACTGAACTGAACTGAAAGACCTGAAAGGGTTTCTGTTCCTATTGGTTACATCTATGAATATTTACCATGTTGACTGCAGTAAGGGAATATCATTTACATAACACTAGTTCTCTGGAATTTGTTGAGAGTCCTTTTGTGATCTTACCATAAATAAGTTTATGCAAGTTGGAAGATACATTTTATGCACATTAATTTAACCTTATAAATTATGTGCTTCCATTATGTTACATTCTTACAAACACTGTTGTCTCTTTTTATAGTCTTTATCTATATGTTTTTTTTTTAATTATTTATTTATTTATTTATTTATTTTTTATCACAACCATAGTGTATCTTTTTTTTTTTTTTTTTACATGTATTCCCCATCCCGGTCCCCCCTCCCACCTCCCTCTCCACCCAATCCCTCTGGGTCTTCCCAGTGCACCAGGCCCAAGCACTTGTCTCATGCACCCAACCTGGGCTGGTGAACTGTTTCACCCTAGATAATATACATGTTTCAATGCTGTTCTCTTGAAACATCCCACCCTGGCCTTCTCCCAGAGTCCACAAGTCTGTTCTATACATAGGAGTCTCTTTTTCTGTTTTGCACATAGGGTTATCGTTACCATCTTTCTAAATTCCATATATATGTGTTAGTATACTGTAATGGTCTTTATCTTTCTGGCTTACTTCGCTCTGTATAATGGGCTCCAGTTTCATCCATCTCATTAGAACTGATTCAAATGAATTCTTTTTAATGGCTGAGTAATATTCCATGGTGTATATGTACCACAGCTTCCTCATCCATTCGTCTGCTGATGGGCATCTAGGTTGCTTCCATGTCCTGGCTATTATAAACAGTGCTGTGATGAACATTGGGGTACACGTGTCTCTTTCAGATCTGGTTTCCTCGGTGTGTATGCCCAGAAGTGGGATTGCTGGGTCATATGGCAGTTCTATTTCCAGCTTTTTAAGAAATCTCCACACTGTTTTCCATAGTGGCTGTACTAATTTGCATTCCCACCAACAGTGTAAGAGGGTTCCCTTTTCTCCACACCCTCTCCAGCATTTATTGCTTGTAGACTTTTGGATAGCAGCCATCCTGACTGGTGTGTAATGGTACCTCATTGTGGTTTTGATTTGCATTTCTCTGATAATGAGTGATGTTGAGCATCTTTTCATGTGTTTGTTAGCCATATCTATATGTTTTGAAAGGGCTGTGCTGAATTCTCCCAAAGTATAATAATTTTTATTTTATGGTTCATGAATCTTGCTGAGGTTGTTAAAAGTATAAAAGTCTTGAGAGTTATATATTCTTAGTACACTGTTTTTTCTAACACCAAGTGATGTTCCTCTTTATCTGTTTTATATTTTTGGTTCCTAAGTACTTAACATTTCAGTCTTTTATTTTCAAAACTTCTCTAGCCTTAGATTTTAGGTATCAGTCTTATCAAGTGTATGTGGCTTAGCTTTCGTTTTAATCCTATCTAAAAACTCTCTTCATTTCAGTAAATGAACTTAATCAACTTACAGTTATTGTATGACCAAGCAGGACCCTCTGGGGTCTTCGTGGAGTAGACCCTTCCTCCTTACCCTCTGCTGTAACTGCTTTCTGGAGAACCTGATTAATAGTATCTGATGTGCATTTCCTGAGTTGTTCCGCAGACGCACAAGCCTCCACTAAATGGAAGGTGCCAGCCACTTGAGGATCCTGGGCCTCCTGGGGCCTGAGGGTTGATAACGCTAACTCTTGGGACACCAGTTAGTTACCTCACCATCTACCAGCCAGAGAACTGTGCACTATCTGATCACACACCCTGGAACTCCCCCGTCATCTGACCTTTAAAAATGCTTTGCTGAAACCCGCCTGGGGAGTTCAGGGGTGTGAGCAGTAGCTGCCCTGGGTTCCCTGCTTCTTTCCCTGCAGTAAACGCTGCATTTCTTTCACCACAACCCAAGTGTCATTAGAGTGGCTTTACGCACAAGGGCGAGCAGACCCAAGTTTGGTCCAGTAACAATTATACTGCCGATTTACCCAACCTTGACCCTGTCTCCGAGGCGGGCCTTGGCCCCTGTGATACGCACACACGTGCCAGTGGACTGTCTCCTGAGCAAATATCTTCTCATGCTCCTATCTTTTTTTGTTTAATATCCAAATTGCTTTAACATATTTACCTCTCAATACAATGCTTTTATGTGATGCTTATGTAGAATAAAATTTCTGTGTGCATATGCACAGAACAACAGAATCCTTTTAGCAAAACTTTATGCAGGAAATTTCTTGAGCTATGTTCTAAATACATGAAATACCTAGTCACTGTTTGAAGACTCACATGGACACGCAAGCTTCCCGTCGTCCCACTGGAAGACGGGAAGCTTAGCCATTTCGGACCAGACTCCCCTGCCCAGGAGGCTTTGAGGCTTGCCCTAAGGGCATTAACCCCTCATGGACATGTTTCCATGTGCAAGAGAAGCTGTCAGCGTGTGAGGCTCTGCCTTCCCTGCATGCAGGTGAAAACAGATGGACTGAAGGGGCCGACTGCAGGGCATCGGTGATGTCTGTTACAGCCTTGAGTCTCATTCCCGGCTGTCCTATCACTGTGAAAAGTCATCATGCTGTCTATTCTTCAGCAAAAATCTTGACTTAAGTATCTTTGTAGGAAATGTATGAACTATTAACAGGGTGTCATTTCAGAAAAAGAATAAAAACGGAGACACCTTACGTTAAGACTGAAACTTTGCCCAACTATTCTGGCTGGAGTTTCAAGATGACCCAATCTGCTTCAGCTTGCCTCACCAACAACAGCATCTCACAATTCCTGATAGGACATCAGTGTTTTGGCGATAGGGAGAACGATGCTAGCCAGGCGGTTCAGCTCAGGCTTACACACATAGTTATTCATTTGGTCAGCTACTCACTTGTTTACTGAGTATTTACTGAACTCCTAGTTGTTTAAGGACTGTGCATGCTTCTGGTGATAAAATGACAATCAAGTTCTTCCTCAGCCTTCAAGGAGCTCATAGACCAGGAAGGAGAATAGATATGCGGTCAATTTAAGTGTGACAGAGAGGGTCAAGAAAACAGAAGTGTAAGTAAAGTTCCATGAGCATCAGTTTGGTCCAAGAAGTTTGGGAAAGGCATTGAAGACACATTCAAAGTAGCCAAATTTTTGTACCCATGTTTTCTTAGGTCAGTATCACAAGGCAATCGATACAAAAAGCAAAAATAAACAAATAGGACCTAATCAAACTTGCAAGCTTGTGTAAAGCAAAGGAAATCACACAAAACAGGAAAAGTCAATCAACAGAAAAGGAGAAAATACTTGAAACTGTGCAATCCACAAGAGCTTAATTTCCAAAATGTACAAACAGCTCATACAACTCAACAACAAAACAACCCAATCAAAAAACAGGCAGATCTAAACAGATATTTCTCCAAAGAAAACATACAGATGGCTAACAGGCACATGAAAAGATGCTCAAAATTGAAAATTATTAGAGAAATCCAAATCAAAATTACAATGAGGTACCACCTCACACCAGTCAGAAAGGCCATCAGTAAAAAATTTACAAATAACAAATGCTGGAGGGGGAGTGGAGAAAAGACAACCCTCCTACACCGTTGGTGGGAACGTAAGTTGGTGCAGCTACCATGGAAAACAGTCTGGAGGTTCCTCAGAAACCAAAAACAGAAAGAATATATGATCCAGCAATCCCACTCCTGGACATACGCCCAGACGAAACTATAATTCAAAAAGATACATTCACCCTATGTACACAACAGCACTATTCACAGCACCAAGACTTGGAAGCAACTTAAATGTTCATCCACAAATGAATGAGTAAAGATGTGATACACATGTACAATGGAATACTACTCAGCCATAGAAAAGGAGGAATAATGCCCTTTGCAGCAGCGTGGATGGACCTGGAGAAGATCATGCTGAGTGAAGCAAGTCAGAGAAACACTGTATGATATCCCTTTTATGTGGAATCTAAACTATGACAGAAATGAACTTATCTATGAAATGGAAACACACTCACAGAGAACAGACTTGTGGCTGCCGAGCGGGAAGGAGGGTGGGGGGTGTGAACTGGGATTTGGGGTCAGCAGATGCAGTATTATGTACGGGATGGCTACACAGCAAGGCCCTACTCCAGAGCATGGGGGGCTATACTCCCCATCCTGCGATACGCCATCAGGGAAAAGAACATAAGAGAGAATCATATATATATGTTCAATCAAAATATACATATATTCAATATATATACTCAACCATATATATATTCAATCTATATATTCAACCATGTATATATATTCAATCAATATATATATATATTCAATATATATATATCACTTGACTGTACAGCAATTAACCCACCATTGTAAATCAACTATACTTCAATAAAATAAATTTTTGAAAATTAAAAAATAAAGCCGAAGTAGGATTCTGACGCGCCGAAAGACAGAGCCGAGACAGATGAGGCCAGCGGCGTGAGGCTGCGCCCCGCGCCCGGTGACGCGGCCCCCAGTGGCGGCGGCCAGGCTCCGGCTGGTGAGGAGAGGAAGGAGCTGGTGTGGCAGCTGGTGTCATCGGCAGGGACCTGTAATTGTGCGCTACTGTGCTGAGAGTCTATTCTGTAGTAAGGAAAACAGAAATGGTGTTTCAGTGAGGAAATGACATTCACAAACCAGCATTTTCGGAAATTGAGACTTCAACTGGAGGATGAGTTGGAGTGAGAAGAATGAGGTCAGTGGAGGAGCTTCAAAAGGCTTCCAGGGACTGTGCGTTTAGGAGAACTTAGACCTGTTCTCTCTATAAATGTTTAAGTTTCACCACTAGGGGCACAGTCATGGCCCCAGACAGGCAGGCAAGGAGCTATGCTAGCAATATGCACCTTTGTTATACAAATAAAGGAAGATACAGCCCTCTCTGGAAATCTAAAATATATCTACAGAGGTGAGATAAGGCAAAGAAGCACGATTTAAACAACCCCATTACAAAATTAAGTAAAACAATAAAGGAGGAAATGAGCACATAAAACAGAGGTGAATGTGCAAGGAACAGATAAGGGTGTTTTATTGGCTAAGCTACTAAATTAACAAAAAAAGAAAACCCAGCTCTGGCGAGGGAAAAGTCACTCAATGCACTTTGAGTGCATTGTTTTACAAAAAAGGGCAGGGATGAAGAGTCGTGTACAACAGACCCAAGAGGACATGAAGCACAGGCCCCACCCTGGAATGTCAGAGAGGTCCAATCTGCATGTGTAAAGTATGCAGAAGAAATAACAACCTAAAACGTAAACATTGCCTTGTAAAAAACGGTTAAACTTCCAATAAATAAAGCTGTCGTCCAAGGAGTAAATTTATAAGGAGATGGAGGGACTCTACGGGCAAAGAGGCTGCTTAACAAAATCTCAGAAGCAACACAGACACACATACCAATGGCTTGTATATTCAAGAGAGATTTACTGAGCACCTTCTAGGGGTGCAGATACAGTGATGAATAAAACATATAAATCCCTGCTCTCATGAAACAATTATTCTCATCCTTTCAATCAGTCTGTTCTTTCTCTTACTTTTAATTTTTTAAGTCTTTTTTTTTTTTTTTGCTATGGACCAGCTTTTTTTTTAAAGTCTGTTTTGAATTTGTTACAATATTGCTTCTGTTCCATGTTTTGCCTTTTTGGCCGTGAGGCGTGTGGGATCTTGGTTCCCCAAGCAGGGATGGAACCTGCACCCTCTGTGTTGGAAAAAGTCTCAACCACTGGACCACCAGGGAAGTCCTTTGATGTTCTGAAACACAAATCCTTTCTCACTCCTCCTGCTTAACCCCCTCAGAGGTGTCCAAGCATGAATTCTGTGCAGGAAGAAAATGTGCCACTTCAAAATTGTAACACAGATAATTTCCAGCTGCAAATCATCAAGACCCAAGGGACTCAAAAAGAACCTCTGGCTCCTGCCTTAGCTGTCTGAAGAATTTAGATAGAGCATCTCCCACAGGAGCACAGCTGTTGTTGGGGATAATCTGCAGTGAACACGGGCTGGTGTGAAGCTCTGGGTCCTCCTGTCTCTGCTGGGCCACCAAATATTTGTCTACCTCACATTTGCTCTTTCATCTTCCTGTAAATTGCCTTCCTCGACCTTTGAAGTCCCAAACCAATACCCTTAACATCCTCATTTGTCTTTAGCCAAGATGCTATTTAAAGGGAGAGTTTCAGCCATTTCAGCAAGTCACTCAGTTTTCCTGCATCTTCCTCCTGTGTATGCATGTTATAAATTTTGTCTGATTTTCTCTTGTTATCTGTCTCATGTCAGTTTAATTCTTAGAGCAGCCAGAATAGCCTAGAAGGGTAGAGTGAAATGTCTTCCTCGCTTAGTACTGTTGGCTGGGGGAAAAAAAAAAGAAAAAAAAATATATATATATATACACACACACACACACACACAACCTAAAAGCTGAAGTGGTGGTGGTTTAGTCGCTCAGTTGTGCCTGACTCTTTGCCACCCTGTGGACCGCAGCCCACCAGGCTCTTCAGTCCATGGGATTCTCCAGGCGAGAATACTGCAGTGGGTTACCATGCCCTCTTCAAGGGGATCTTCCCAACCCAGGGATCGAACCGAGGTCTCCCGCATTGCAGGAGGATTCTTTACCAAATGAGCCACCAGGGAAGCCCTGAAAGTTGAGAACTGTTTTATTCAACAGATCTTCTGAGGACTTAAGTCCAAAAAAGCAGCCTCTCAGATCACTCTAAGGGTCAGCTCCAATGAAGGGAGGAGCCAGGAGATATAGGAGTTTTCACAACAGAAATCAAGTGGTGGGAACATCAAGATATCACTGTTAATTAAAGAAAGCTAGACGTCTCAAGTCAAGGAATTTAGTACTTTTCTATGTCTGGGAAGATGCAAGAGCCTGGGCTCACTGAATTCATTCCTCCAATGTGCACCTCAGCTATCTAGGGCGAGTGTCCTGTTTTCTCCACCCTGAACCCCTCAGGGTTAAGGGCTCCGGCACCCTTTGTTTCCTGATACGGCGGGTGGTGTGTTCCATCTGTATCACCGTCCGCAAGCCCGACCCCTCCTCACCTCTCTGTTCCTCTCCGGCCTCACTTTCCGCCATCAGCGTCCTTGCCTCCAGTAAGTCCCGCTACCCTGGTGTTTATGCTCCTCAGACGCTCCAGGCTGGTTCCCATTCTGGAGTTTTCCCTTGTTCTCATCTACCTGGCAGGACATCTCCCAGATTTTCACACGATGGCTCCCCAAGCCCTGCAGACTCAGTTCAAATATCATCTCCTTGGGGACACTTCCTAGACTGCACTAACTCAGAGTACTTAGCACTTCAGAATTATTTGTGTATTTCCTCTGAGCTCCGTGAGAGCAGGAACCGTGATGAGTGCATTCAACAGTGTCTGTGCCCATTGTCTGTGAGAGCCTGACAGATGGTGGGTGTTCAAAAACCGCTTGCTAAAGGGCCACATGGGGGTGTGTGTGTCTGTGGTTTAGTGAAATAGCCATGATGTAGGAGGTACATGGATCCCACGGTGAACAGCTGCAACCAGTCTCTGCCTCACGCTTCAAGATGAAATGCATACCAGCAGGAGCACCAGGTCCTGCCTGGGTGAAAGGGAAAGTGACCACCTTTTTCTCATTCTTGAAGACAAGCGGATTTCCCAGCCCGCACATGCACAGCGAAGGTCCTCAGTCTAAAGAGGGGATCAAAGATGCATGTACCTCCCAGGAAGGACCCTGAGTCAGGTCAGGGGCTGGCACAAGCAAGATGATTGGGCAGAGACAACCCAGAGGACTGACCCCGTGCACGTGATCTAAGTCACCCTCACTGGGCACAGCTCTCTCCACATTTGCCCATGTGCTTTTTCTGCATGTGCTCTGCTTCTCGTAAACCCTTTATCTGTTTCACCATCTTGGTGTCTTTGTGAATTCTTTCTTCAAAGAAGACAAGGACCGAGGTCCTGCTTCCAGCCATCTCACCCCTCAAAGTCAGTCACGCTAGGCTATTGCAGCTTAGCCAACTGCACAGCTGGTAGAGTCTAAAGAAAGACGAGCTCTTCCTCCCAACTCACTGCTAATGTGCACCCAGCTCAGTGGGTTCTCAGCTAAACCACCGACGGCTGGGGGCTGGTGGCAGTGGCGATCTTGGTGGTGAAGATGGCGACTGAATGAGCCGTCCTGCGCTGGAGCCGGAGGAAGCGAGTCTGCGCACACGCTGACAACCTCAACCCACGACCTCCAACCACCAGCTCAGAAAAGGTGAGAAAGGAAATTACATTCTGCTCTGGATTGCACCTGTGGCCTGCAAGTTACCCGTTCCCCCTTCGACCTTCTCTGAGCACAAGGCCCTGCTGGTTTTGACCAGTATTTTCCCTACAATGAAATGTAAACAGCAGTACATCTGTGCATTCATTCATTCATTCAGATTTTGAGTTAGACTCCAATATTTGTTGACACTCCTAAACCTTCTACAAATCCCCCAAGTCACTAAAAGCATCAAAGTTGACTCTGAAGTCCTTAGCCACACTGTTTTGCCTCCAATCTGGTGGCAAGGAGGGTCCAGGTAATGTTTGTGTGGCCTTTTAGTCACAACAGTATTAAACTACAAATGCTGAGGGTCACGCACACAGGCAGACGTGATCCGGATCTGGAAAAAGCACTCCTGCACCTTTGATGACCCTGTCGGTTGCCCAGTGCCAAACTCAGGTGCACTGACTTTCCAATCAACCGTGTCTGGGTTGGTCAGCTCAGAAAAGGCGACCTCAGCTACAGCAACACTCCTGACAACCTACTTGTAATGCAATAAGTCACTCATAAAAGAAAGGGGGGGAAAACAGATTTAAACTGCCTCTCAGCCTCTGTTTTTGTGATAGAATGGAGAGTTTTAGCTGCTTTGAGAATGATTACAATGTGTATATACTAGCAGCAGTAGAATGTAAAACCAAAATATAAAAGAGCTTTCAAAGTAGCATTCATTTTTACAGTGGAATAAAGGACGTCAGGAACGAACAAAAACAGCTCACTCCTACAGAGGCAGAGAAAAGACAGCGTTTGGGTCACAGAGAGGGCTGTCCCCACCTCTGCCCTCCTCTGAACAGGCTGAGAAGGGGAAGAGCGGGTCCCCGGCGCCCAGGTGGAAGTCCCCCACCAGCCCGCAAACCCAGAGACATGTAACAGCCGAGCCGGCCGTGGAGCCCGGGGCCGTCTCCTCGCGGCTCAGCCTCTCTGTTCCTAGCTGGGAAACCAGAAGATGGAACAGGACCTCCGTGGTTCCTGTCCTTCCTGTCATTCCAGCAGCTTGTTTTTTACCACCTGCGGGAAATCATGGGAATAAAAAAGATACTTTTCCCTCCTTTCAATGAGAAGTAAAACATGAATTATTTACATTCAAATTTTAAAAGATCAAGTAGAACTTCACCTCTTCTTGTGGCTCTGGGTTTTCCCAATAGTATGTTTTCAATCTACTTCCATATAACTCAGGGCCTAAAGATGCTTCTTCCAAATTGTACCTTTCACATGTGCTACTTGACAGTATTTACATTTTTAATGAATAAGTGTGTTTTCTTTAAGATGCTGTGTTTGGTCGCTTATTCTCTTAGGAATCTATGACGATAAGTATTTTATGTGTGCAGAGTTTTTAAGCTGATATTTACATTATATAGAGAGTATCTGCCTTAAGACAGCTTCATCTGTGACCCTACATTTAGAGCTTTTTAAGCTTAGAACTGCAATACTGATGGATGCTCACATTTACCATAGCTGAGAGATGACTACCTAAGAACACATTCCATACTGGGACAGAAAGCTTATCTACAGCATGTGTGTGTAGTGAAAACACTTATTCCATCATTCACTTTTATTTTTGTAGATATTCTTCAGTGTTTGAGTTTCTTTTGCACCAAACTATACTTGAAATGGGCAACCATGCATGGCCCATAAAATTAACCCTCTTCCCACAACAGTCAATTAAATCTTTTCTTTCTGAAATTGATGCCTTATGATTTGAGTCAACACGAATCAAGAATGAAAGATAATGAACCCACCTCTCTGTGAGATTAAATTGTCCCACACCTCCCGCAAAGTGAGGAAAAAGAAACTTGGAGCAAATGACCAGCTCAGGCCAGTACAGAGATAAGAAAGCTGTTGTGCTGATTCTTCTAGAATCAGATGATGTGATTTGTGTCATCATTAAAAAAAATTTCTGAAGTATAGTTGATTTACAGTGTTCTATACATTTCAGGTGAAAGTGAAAGAGGAGAGTGAGAAAGTTGGCTTAAAGCTCAACATTCAGAAAACTAAGATCATGGCATCTGGTCCCATCACATCATGGGAAATAGATGGGGAGACAGTGGAAACAGTGACAGACTTTATTTTATTGGGCTCCAAAATCACTGCAGATGGTGATTGCAGCCATGAAATTAAAAGACGCTTACTCCTTGGAAGGAAAGTTATGACCAACCTAGACAGCATATTAAAAAGCAGAGACATTACTTTGCCAAAAAAAGTCCATCTGGTAAAGGCTATGGTTTTCCCAGTGGTCACGTATGGATGTGAGAGTTGGACTGTGAAGAAAGCTGAGCGCCGAAGAATTGATGCTTTTGAACTGTAGTGTTGGAGAAGACTCTTGAGAGTCCCTTAGGCTTCAAGGAGATCCAACCAGTCCATCCTAGAGGAGATCAGTCCTGGGTGTTCATTGGAAGGACTGATGCTGAAGCTGAAACTCCAGTACTTTGGCCACCTCATGTGAAGAGTTGACTCATTGGAAAAGACCCTGATGCTGGGAGGGATTGGGGGCAGGAGGAGAAGGGGATGGCAGAGGACGAGATGGCTGGATGGCATCACCGACTCAGTGGGCATGAGTTTGAGTATACTCCGGGAGTTGGTGATGGACAGGGAGGCTTGGCGTGCTGCGATTCATGCGGTGGCAAAGAGTCGGACACGACTGAGCGACTGAACTGAACTGCACTGATCCATTTCAGGTGTACAGCAAAGTGCTTCAGCTATATGTATGTATATGTATATGTATATGTGTATATATATATATACACACACACACATATATATATATTCTTTTTCAGGCTCTTTTCATGACAGGTTATGACAGGACATTGAATATCGTTCCCTGAGCTATATGACAGCCCCCTGTTGGTTCTCCACTTTATATACAGCAGTGTGTCAAATGATGTGATTTAATATTCTTCTGAATTAGAAAATTAAACAGGCTTGGTGATACTGCCATTACAAAGTTTTATCTGAACAAGAGAACTTGGTGGGACTGGCATTATAGTTCAGTCCCAGATCTGTCACAATGGAATCTGGAAGAAACTCTGCCCTGAATGTGGTCAGAATTTTAAAGACTTTGCATCCTGTAATGCTGAAACTACCAAATGATGTCAAGTAACAACAAAAATAAAAATAGATTAGACTGTATCAGTCGAAAACTTCTGTAAGTTAAAAGACACGATCAGCAGAGTGAGAAGGCAACCTGCAGAATGGAAAAAAACATTTGCCAATCATGTATCTGAAAATCACCAGGTAAGTAAAGTAACTTACAACTCAATAACAAAAGCAAACAGCCTGCTTAAAAACGCGAAGCCCTGTCTAGGCACCTCCCCAAGGGAAGCCAATGGCAGACTAACGGTCCGGGGTTAGACTCTACCTGCCGGTGCCGGGGACACGGAGTCGCTCCCAGCCCCAGGAGAATTCCCCATCTGCGGAGCAACCGAGCCCGTGGGCCTCAGCTCGGAGCCCCCCCGCGTCCTGCCGCTGCCGCTGCCCGCACACCCGCGCCTCCGACCGGAGGGGAGCGAGGCTTGCTGCGGCTGGAGAAGGTCTGCACGCCGCAGCGGACCTGCGCGGCCATGAACAAATGATTTTAAAATTCTGTTAAATAAAAGAAAACCAATGGCCAATAAGCACACGAATAGGTGCTTGATATCTCTCATTTAGGGGAGAGCAAGTCAAAGTCATCGTTAGATCAGCCTCACACCATCAGGAGGGCGGCTACGGAGAAAGAAAAGATCGAGTGTGGATGAGGATGTGGGAAACGGGGACTCCTGCACACTGTCAGTGGGAATGCACGATGCTGCAGCTGCGAGGAAAACAGGATGGCAGATCTTTAAAAAATTAAAAAAAGAGTCAACCATACAGCTCAGCAATTCCACTTCTGAGTCTATACCCAGAAGAACTGAAAGCAGGGTCTTGAAGAGATACTTGTACACACATGTTCATAGCAGCACTATTCACAACAGTAACTTAAAAATCTATCAATGAATGAACGGGTTAAAAAAAAATGTGCTACAAACAACAGTTAGGGTTAGCGTTAACAAGGAAGGGAATTCTGACACGTTACACCGTGGATGATCCCTGAGTATGTACATTACCTACATTATGCTAAGTGAAATAAGCCAGTGGCACGAAGACAAACACGGCATGATTCTACTCATAGGCGGTACCTCCTACAAAGTCAAATTCAGAGTAGAAGGGGCTTCCCTGGTGGCTCAGCTGGTACAGAATCTGCCCTCAATGCGGGAGACCTGGGTTAGATCCCTGGGTTGGGAAGATCCCTTGGAGAAGGGAAAGGCTACCCACTCCAGTATTCTGGCCTGGAGGATTCCACGGACTGTATAATCCATGGGGTCACAAAGAGTGTACTGACTGAGCGACTTTCACTTTCAGAAAGTAGAAAGGTGGTTGCCAGGAGGTGGGGGAACAGAGAGATGGGGAGTTGTTCAATGGATCCAGAGTAGCACTTTTACAAGAAAACTTCTGCAGATATAGTTGCAAAACAATATGAATGTACCCTAACCCTAAATATGCACACTTAAAAATGGGATATGGAAATTTTTGTTATGTGTGTTTTACCATAATTTTTAAAAATTCTTTGAATTGTGTCAGGTATATATATATATATCAGTATTTACCCATTACCCATTATTGCCCTTCTAGCTTGCTTTGACCAAGTCTAATATTTGCTTATTGAAAATAATGCTGCAGTAAAAAATGTTAACACCTTAAGCTCTCTGTGCTTTGTATTTGGTTTAACCCTATACTAGTTACCAGGAGCTAAATTAGTGGGTCATAGATTATCAACATATTTAAAGCTATTTACTCATGAGAATTTACCTTTAAATGTATTGAATTAATGTCAGTTGTTTAGGAAATCTGCCAGGACTCATTGGTTATAAGTGGTCTCAAAATTTTAGATAATCTTTTTCTCAAAGTTTTCCAATATTCTTGAAAGGTACTATATTTTGAATTTTAAAATCTGCAATAAGCCTCTTATACAGAAGAAAAACGTTCATAAGGTTGTTATTATACATATATATGAGAATATTTAACATCATTTACAACAATATTTAACATCATGTTACAATATTTAACATCATCATGATGTATGTAACATCATATTTAACATCATTAAATATTTAACATCATTTAATATCTGTGATGAGATCCATTCAGAATTCATGATCAAAAAATTACCAGTCCCTGTTTCAATTTTGCTACCAGGCAGAGTCTGCTACATCTATCCCCATATTTCTCACTTTGCTCTGAATGCTGGAAGTTGGGGCGATACTCTTCACCCAGAGTTTTGCTACAATGTTCCTCTACTTTTACTTGAGAGGATAGGGATGGGAGCTACAGAGCAGGAGTGGGGCAGGGAATTTTATATACTTTATTCTGCATGTAACGTCATTGTCCAGATTCCCATTTTACCAATAAAACTGATGCTTGACTTGTAACTTGCTGCTGCTGCTGCTAAGTCGCTTCAGTCGTGTCCGACTCTGTGCGACCCCATAGATGGCAGCCCATGAGGCTCCCCCATCCCTGGGATTCTCCAGGCAAGAACACTGGAGTGGGTTGCCGTTTCCTTCTCCAATGCATGAAAGTGAAAAGGGAAAGTGAAGGCGCTCAGTCGTGTCTGACTCTATGTGACCCCATGGACCGCAGCCCACCAGGCTCCTCCATCCATGGGATTTTCCAGGCAAGAGTACTGGAATGGGGTGCCATTGCCTTCTCCAGACTTGTAACTTGACCTGCATCAAATAGTGATTCTTGGCCTCACTATATTCAAGTTTTTCTTGTAAGTTGCAACAAGACTTTTTGAAAGTAAAGAGGATACGTAAATAAACAATCTAAACCTGTAATTTCAATGTCAGAACGTGACTGTATTTAGTGCTGAGCACTAAAGGCTGGAGGAACGCCCGAGCCAGAGGAAGTCAACTACTCTCCAGGCCTGTCCTAAGACAAACAAGGTCCCGGGAGGTGACCTCAGTGACCCGAGGCATACAGCTGGCCTGGAGCTACACCGCCATCTTCTTATGCAAAATAAAGTGGAATCATCATTTACGGCTTACTTTTACTTCCTGGGCAAGGATCTCACTACCTATTAGGCTCAGGATCTATTATCTCTCAAGCAAAGAATGAAACTGAGCTTTAAACATATTAATAAAATCAGTCTGTACTAGAGTGCACTGCAACCATACGAATCATAAACATTCAAACTTCATGTGCAAAACTCATTCTTACTATTTTCCAATAAAAGTTTATTTTAAATTATTCACTCTTACCCTAATAAGAGCTCTGTTCTCCAGAATTGTTACCTGCTTTATTCATTTATATCCTTGAGGGGAAAAAAAGCTAATTTAAATTGATACTTGTTACCATTTAACCTACTTCTAGAATTTAACCTAAGGAAATCAGTGAGAAATATATGAAATAAGTATGTACAAAAATGTCAATATGACTATCTATTTTTTAAATGAAGAATATTTTTATAAAAAGAAAATGGGGATTGTGTGAAATGTCCAACAAGAAGAAATTATTTAAATGATACATCACATAAAGGAATTTGGAAAAGCAATTAAAAATCATGATGCAGACCTGTAGTTGTTGCATGGATAAAAAGACAATCCCATTAATCTAAACAAACACATACTGTCATACTTTTTTAGTATTATTAAATACCTTGAAGGATATTCTAAAATGTGCTTGCAGTTGTCTCTACATGACAGGGCAGCAAATGAGCTATATTTTCATATACATATGTGTATAAATATATATGTGTGTGTGTGTAGATATATATGTACAGAGCCTTCTTGCGATTTTTATAAAGAGAAGGTAATATAATCAGTAAAAGGACAACTAAGCTATTTCTATCTAGAAAAATTAACTATTTAAATATCTGCAAAATTAACTTACCATAATATCAAATTATAATGAACCTGGCTTAAAAATCCCCAGCAGCAATCATAGATTTATTTTTACAAATATTTATGATGCCTTATGATCCAGACATTTCCCTAGTGGCTCAACTGTTAAAGAATCCTTCCACAACGCAGGAGACCTGGGTTCAATCCCTGGGTTGGGAAGATCCCCTGGAGAAGAGAATGGCAACCCACTCCAGTATTCTTGACTGGAGAATTCCATGGACTGTACAGTCCATGGGGTCACAGAGTCGGACATGACTGAGCGACTTGCACGGATCCAGTGAGATTGTTTTCCGTATTTTCTCTGATTTTTATCTTGCTTTCCTTGCCTTTGTGACCTGTGGTAGAAAGAATACTACTCCGCACTCCAAGACGCCCATATCTTAATACACAGAAGCTGGAAATATGCATATCATGTGGCAGAAGTGAACTAAGATTGCAGATAAATGAGGGTGCTGACCCTAATATGGGCTTCCCGAGCAGCGCTAGTCTCCAGTGAAGGAGACATAAGAGACGCAGGTTCAATCCCTGGGTCGGGAAGATCCCCTGGAGAAAGGCATGGCCACCCGCTCCAATATTCCTGCCTGGAGAATCCCATGGAGAGAGGAGCCTGGCGGGCTGTAGTCCATGGGGTCCCAAAGAGGCAGACATGACTGAAGCTATGTAGCACGCAAATCCTAATACAGTGAAATTACCCTGGATCCCTCAGGTGGCCCCGTGCGCTTACAGGGCCTCTTCAGCGAGCAAGAGGGAGGCAGAAGGTCGGTGTAGGGGAGTGCACAGTGAGAAGACTGGATCAGCCACCATGTCTTCACAGATGAGGAGGCGCAAGCCCAGGATGCAGACAGCCTCCAGGAGCTGGAAAGGCAAGCCGCTATTCCCCTGGAGCCTCTGAGAGGAACGCAGTTTTGCCCGAAGCTTGGTATTAGCCTGGCAAGACCCACTGCACACTTCTCATTTCAAGCACTGTAAGGTATTAGGCAAATTTGTATTCTTTTCAGCTACCAATTTGCTGGTAATTTGCAATCACAGGAAACTAACACAGGTCTTAATATTTTCACATCGTTTTGAAGTTAAGTGTAAAAGTTCTGCTCCTCTTTTAATATTGATTAAAAAAACACAAATACTAATGCATTATTGTCATAAATACAAAACATGTCCTTGGGTCAAGAAGCTACCCTTTATCTTATCACATGTCATTTTACCTGGAAATCTACAGACACACGACACACAGACACTCACACCTCTGATTCATTCCTTTATCACTCATTTACCTTTTGAACAAATCTTTATGTTATTTTAAAAATTTCCAAAAAATAAAAAAAAATAAAAATTTCCATTCATTCCCAGGATCCTGATCTCCAGCAGAATATGTTAAGCGAGCACAGTTCTCTCACCTCCCCTCCAGGCGTGTACCATCTTCCCAGTTCTTGCTTACTAAGCCGGGCCAGAGAAGGAGACCCGGACCCAGGTTCTCGCTGAAAACTCAGGCATTCGGAGAACTCGGGTGCATCTCCTTCTGCAACCACAAGGGGGTGCGGCGCCCACGGAGTAGAGCCTGGTCTGAAGGCTGGAGCCGGGCGCGGGGAGCAGCTTAGAGGCCTGAATTCCCGCTGGAACCTTGGGCTCCAACACCCACTCACGCAGGTCCACCACGCTGGATGGTCTCCCATGTGCCATCCCGGCATTGGCCACAGTCTCCTGCAGAATTCTTGGTGAGAGTGAGCCAAATAGTCATGCTTCCACAGAGCCAAAGCCCACATGGACCTTCCTTTCCCCCCAGTCTTCTTCTTTCAGATCTTATGTATTCAAAACAGCAGGTAAAAGATCCTTCCCGAATAGCAACTTCCCGGCCACCTCTAAGTGTAGGGCTTCTGAGTGCTTCCAAGATTCTCCACCATCCAGAACCGCCTGACCTCCTGCAGGTAGGGGCTTTCCGACCCCTCTCCCTAGAGCGAAGGAAAGCAAATGGACAAATAAAAGCAAAAGGTGAATCTTCAGAATGCATCCATTACACCTAATAACCAGGATGCATATGTTGTTTTTGCCAACTACAAATTGGCACTTGCCAAGAGCATTGCCAGCAACTGCACAACAAACACACTTGCCATCTGCCTCTGTGAGTTTAAACTGCGCCGGTGCAGCTGCTGACCTTCAGCACTCCAAGAGGGAGTTCAGGGTGGAGCAAGGCACTCTGTGCACCAGGGAATTTGGTGGGATAGGTCTTTAGATCCTTAGATATTTTCAGGAACTGATTTCATATTCCAATCCTTCAGTTCAGTCGCTCGGTCATGTTCGACTCTGCGACCCCATGGACTGCAGCACGCCAGGTCTCCCTGTCCATCACCAACTCCCGGAGCCTACTCAAACTCCTGTCCATTGAGTCAACAATGCTATCCAACCATCTCATCTTCTGTCATCCCCTTCTTCTCCCACCTTCAATCTTTCCCAGCATCAGGGTCTTTTCAAATGAGTCAGTTCTTAGCATCAGGTGGCCAAAGTATTGGAGGTTCAGCTTTAGCATCAGTCCTTCCAATGAATATTCAGGTCTGATTTCCTTTAGGATGGACTGGTTTGATCTCCTTGCAGCCCAAGGGACTCTCAAGAGTCTTCTCCAACACCACAGTTCAAAAGCATCAGTTCCTCAGCACTCAGCTTTCTTTATAGTCCAGCTCTCACATCCATACATGACTACACCATCGCTTTGACTAGACAGACCTCTGTTGGCAAAGTGATGTCTCTGCTTTTAAATATGCTGTTTAGGTTGATCATAGCTTTTCTTCCAAGGAGTAAGCATCTTTTGATGTCATGGCTGCAGTCACCATCTGCAGTGATTTTGGAGCCCAACAAAATAAAGATCCCAATCCTTGCATCTCCTCATATCTGGAAAAGCACTAAATCCCTTCATGGTGGCATCAGCTCCTCATGACTAGCAGAAAACCTTTTGTAAAGTAAGCACCTGAAGTAAAGTGAAAGTCGCTCAGTCATATCCTACTGTTTTCGACCCCTGGAATTCTCCAAGCCAGAATACTGGAGTCAGTAGTAGTGTAGCCACACATTCCAGGAAACAAACTCACTCAGAAGAACAATGCAGATAGTGAAATGCAGTTTATTACACCGACAGGCCCAAGGCAGAGTTTCCTCTTAGCCAAGGACCCCGACAAGTTTTTGTGAAAACCTTGTATACCCTAAGTGTACGTGCTCAAACCCACCTCCCCAAATTCTCTGAAACCAGTCTGAACAAAGGAAAAGAAAGATAAAATCATAGTTGACCCATGATTGGTATCCCTTAAACCTGGGTGGTTAACAGTGGACAATTATCAATAGGCCTGTGGTCTACACCCCAGTAAGCGTGATAGAATTCATGATTCTATTTGGTCGCACAGATAATCAGGGTATTCTTTTAGGCGACGGAGAGTCTCGGTACAAGCCCTGAGGCTCTTCCGCCTGGGGGGGGGGGGTGGGGGGGAGGTTCTGGTTTTCCAGCTGGTATGTCGTTTCCATAGACGCTGGGCATATAGCTCAATGTCCATAGTCCGGCCCAAGAAGGAGTCCTGCTTCAGGATGGAGCCTGTTCTGTCTGTTTCTCCTTCAGACAGCCTTTCCCTTCTCCAGGGGATCTTCCCAACCCAGGGATTGAACCCAGGTCTCCCGCATTTCGGGTGGATTCTTTACCAGCTGAGCCACAGGGAAGCCCTAAGTCAGCACCTGATTGCTCTGAATCCCTCCTTCCCCAGGACCTCACATGTTGACCTTCCCCCACTACCTCTTTGGAGCCATCTCTCAGAACTAACTGAAGGGCTGCCTCCTGGGCTGCAGGCTGCATTTTGCCCCAAATGAAACTTAACTCAATGCCTCTCAAGTTGTGCATCTTTTTTAATCAACATTTTAAAAGGCTATTCATGTAACCACACTTGCCTAGGTTGTTCTATTATTTCAAAGCAATTGTGCATGTTACCATTTTCTTTTAATAGAAAGAATTTATTTTCTCATTCTGCTAGGTATATGAGGCCAAAGAAGTTTCACAAACAAGGCAATGCTTCCTGTCTTTACTTACCCTGTTCATGAAAGAAAGAGTGTGTAATAATTGAGACTTTAAATATTTTCTTTTCTCTTTTCCCCACTTTGTCCTTGGAAACTGTAGACAAAGAATACCTGCCATTTCAGGAAACAAAGCCATCATCCTACACAGCTGCCCAGAGGGGATTCAGAATGGAGAAAAACAGGATACTGGCTCTAGATAGCTAAGCGAGTGAAAGTCACCCAGTTGTGTCTGACTCTTTGCGACCCCATGGACTATACAGTCCATGGAATTCTCTAGGCCAGAATACTGGAGTGGGTAGCCTTTCCCTTCTCCAGGGGATCTTCTCAATCCAGGGATCAAACCCAGGTCTCCAGCATTGCAGACGGATTCTTTACCAGCTGAGATAGCTAAGGTGCACATCAAAAGAGTGATTTCAATGAAACGAGGTTCTTGCATCTTCCCATACAGAGAAAAGTCTTCAATTCACTAACGTGAGATTCTGGGTTTGTTATATAATTACCAGTAAGCTTTTGATGTTCAACTAGCTGGGTTTTTTTTTTTTATTGTTTTTTTGCAACAACCCTATATATTCTGTCCTTTCCTTCCTCTAGTGCTTCTGGGCAGCCCCTCACATTATCCCAGGATCAAGTTCTCAGCAAGTTCACTGAAAAAACACAATTTTCTACTTCTAGGTTGTGGATTTTTTTTTTTTTTCAATGCACAAAACCCACAAAGTAAGTAAATCTTCTTTAAAATTGTGAAGCTTAATTTTAAAAAGCTAAACACATTCTATAAATGTAGACTATATAGGCCAAAGGTTTATTTATTCACACATTGAGAGAACACTCGGGATGATAAAACTGGATAAGACAGCATTTGAGAAACAAATGAATAGAGTCTGTCTGAGAAAATCTGCTGAAATGGGTTTTCTAGGTTAGAGAAAGGATGGGCCAGGGCAATAAAACTGTAACCATTGTGTTTCTGTATTCATTTGCATCTGAAGCAGAAATTTGTGTCTCTGGGGGACACAAGTCTGCAAGTTAACAAGTAACTTCAGGGAGGCTGGGCTGGCCGTGATCAACAGCCTACAGCAAAATAGAGCGGCATTTCCCTAGGAAACTAAATAATCCTCGGACGGGTTTGTTAAACAATGCCCTGAGAATATATGCCTTCCTCCTTTTGTTTTGTTTCCAAGTTCCTGGTGATTTTTCTTTCCACAATTAGGTGGGGACTCCCCTTCCATCCACCACTGATTCCCCAGGCAGCACTGTCTCCTAATCATTGTTTGAAGTTACTACATGTTTGATCTGTCTTTCTGTTAACAGGAGACTCATCCACCTAATAACGTTCTCAGTTCAGTTCAGTCGCTCAGTTGTCTCCAACTCTTTGCGACCCCGTGGACTGCAGCACGCCAGGCCTCCAGATCCATCACCAACTCCCAGAGTTCACTCAAACTCATGTCCATCGAGTCAGTGATGCCATCCAACTGTCTCATCCTCTGTCATCCCCTTCTCCTCCCTCCTTCAATCTTATCCAGCATCAGGGTCTTCTCAAATGAGTCAGTTCTTCGCATCAGGTGGCCAAAGTCTAACCCTAACCCTACATTCTAGACAGATTTCAACAACAGTTCACATGTCCCAAAGTGCCTTGACAACAATAGTTTCATTTTTCTTTAATATTTAAAGAATATAAAAGAGATATGGGATAATTCAAGAAGAATTGAACAAATTCAAAACTATTACTCAGTAACTAGATTTGAGAAGGGGACGACAGAGGATGAGATGGCTGTATGGCATCACGGACTCGATGGGCATGAGTTAACAGCTAAAGAAAGAATTAGATTTCTCCAAGCTTTGAGGATGATTAGGGATTTATACACACTGACTGCCAACATCAGAACGCATGAATGAGAGAAGAGAGAAGGTCCGCTGAGGACGCCAGGAGTCACAAGCTAGAGGGCCCTGGGAGAGAGCTCAGTGATAGGTCAGCGCGATGCAGATGCTCCCAGACCAGGATGTTCCTCCCAGCGCCGCCCACCTCCTTCCGGTCCCTAAGCGTTAAGGGCACGGGAGGCCCGTGCACGCTCTTCCCTGGACCTGGCCCCCTCCCCACCGCCTTCTGTCCCCACCGCCCACTGCCTGAGACCCACTTAGAGCGGCTTCTTCTGGAAACGCTCCTCTGCCCCCAGGTCCCGGCTGGGTGTCGACAAGCTCTCCGCTTCCATCAGTCTCTCTCCCTCTGCAGGCCCCTCACTTGCCCGTCCCAGCGTTAAACTAAGCTGTCCGTGCAGCACCTGTGACCTTACTTACATGTGGAATCTAAAATATGACACCAGTGAACTTACTTACAAAACGGAACAGACCTACCGACATAGAGAGCAATCTTATGGTTACCAAAGGGTAAAGGTGGGAGGGAGGGATGAATTAGGAGTTTGGGATGAACTCGATATTGATATACTCTTATCAATATAATATATAAACACGGACCACCTACTACATAGCACAAGGAACTATATTCAATATCTTGTGATAAACTACAATGGAAAAAATCTGAAAATGAAAAAAATGGAAACCAGTCCTGCATGTTCATTGGAAGGACTGATGCTGAAGCTGAAGCTCCAATACTTTGGCCACCTGATGTGAAGAGCTGACTCATTGGAAAAGACCCTGAAGCTGGGAAAGACTGAAGGCAGGAGGAGAAGGGGATGACAGAGGATGAGATATTTGGATGGCATCACCGAGGCGATGGACATGAGTTTGATCAAACTCCAAGAGTTGGTGATGGACAAGGAGGCCTGGCGTGCTGCAGTCCATGGGGTCACAAAGAGTTGGACACGACTGAGCGACTGCACTGAACTGAACTGATATATACAGTTATCACTTTGCTATACACTAAAAACTAACACAACAATGTAAATCATCTATACTTCAATTAATTAATTAATTAAGCTTTCTAAGCAGAGGGATCACAGCTACCTGTATCCCTGCCAGCTGAGTCAGTCACTGATATTACACATAAGTTACTCAGTACCTATTTGATGAAGGATCGTTAAATTCCCAAAGGGCTTCTCTCCATCGTGTTACGTCTGGTCAAAGTGTACTGACCACTGACGACTTCAAAAGCAGTATGTATAGCATTTAAACGAGATGGTCCCTACTCAAAGGAGTTGAAGTACTAGTCTGCAAACATGAAAGACGATGGCAGCAATAAACCATGTTTACTAGCAGGAGGACAGGGTGTCATGCAGACACGCACTACTGTGTGTGGATAAAAATGGGAGCGCTTTATGAGAAATAGGAAAGTTTGAGGCATCACTTCACAATAGCCCTAAATCACCAGAATTCAGAACGATAAACTCCAACAACAGACTCCTCAGATCACACGAGGACCTCCCCGACTGGCAACCTGACAACCGCAGGCCCAGGGCACAGAGCCCGCTTCGCGGGGGCGGACGTGGAGAACGTTCTGTTTACATTCTCCGTTCGCGTGGTTTCCGCAGAGCCTTTGTTGCTGAACTTACAGGGCTGCGTTCTCAGCACACAGCCTGTTTGTCAGGCCATTATTTTTACAAGCGCAAACCTGCCCGTGTATTCTCTGTGCTACCCGCTTCTTAGTTCCAAACATCCTTCCCAGGAAGGCCCCGGGTCTCCAGAACTCCCAATTCAGCTCCGTGCCGTGAAACTGCTTTGAAACAAATTATTCTCGCTGTGGTGAGCGCTGGAAGAAAGCATATAGTATATTTGATTCAGATAGAGCTTGCATTATTTTGGCAGTAGGTCTGACTAAATACATTTATTACTATAGTTTTAAAACTAACTTTAGTATCCGAAAGAAAAAAAGCTGGTTTGAGAGCCATTTCTTGCTCCAAGGCTCTGGATAAAAGCATCACTTCAGAAAACTGTTTTGTGAACATCTCTGGCGGTGCAGTGGGGAAGAATCCACTCGCTAATGCGGGGAATGTGGGTGTGATTCCCGGTCCAGGAAGATGCCATACGCTGCAGAGCGGCTAAGCTCACGAGCCACAACTACTGAACCCACACTCCAGAGCCTGTGCTCCAAGAGGAGGAGCCGCCGCAATGGGGAGCTTGCCCACCGCAGTGAGGAGCGGCCCTGCTCGTCGCAAGTGGAGGAAGCTCCAGCAAGGTAACGAAGACCCAGAGTGGCCAAAATAAATAAACGCAAATTGTGACAAAAGAAAACGGTGTTTTGTTTCCTAGTGATATACAGTCACACTATGTCAAAGTGTCCATGTGAATTTTTGTTTGTGAATATGTATGCAACTATTAAGTTATACACACACACCCCATGTACATATATTTTCTGTGTGGCTCCTTCCTTATGCGCCATCTCATCTGGATGCCCCAGGATGTTGTGTTGTAACATCATGGTATAAATATACACATCAAACTGATAACATTATCCTTAAACCATGAATTATATTGTCAAAGTAAGGGAACATAAACTCCAATCTTAGAATATTTCCATCAAAAAGAGTGAGGGAAAAAAAACCAACTGTTCCTCGCCTAAGCACAGGTTTGCTCTTCAGAAATATGGAACACCCCAACTGTAAATATTGATGTGGGCTCATAACACATATTTGTCCTTTTTCTTAATTCATTCTCTTCTACCTATAGACCATTTGGAGCTGTTTAAGGAGTATCAAACTTGTTAGGTCATCATTTGAAACAGTCTGTCCCTGACTGGAGTAGTTTATAAATTCGCTTTATGATAAAATACGAATTTGAGGAAACCCTCTGGTACATCAGAATCTATAGGAGAGAGGGCTTCAGAAATAGCATTTTAGACAAAGGTCTGATATCAGTACTTCTCAAACTTTAATACACAAACTAATCACCTGGGGAACTTGTTAGCATGCAGATTCTGATTCAGCAGATCTGTGATCTAGCAAGCTCCCAGGGGATACTGACCCACTGGTGAAGGAACCACACGTTGAGAGGCTCACAACTTGCTGACTGTCACCATCAGACCATCAGGCCTGATAGGAGGTTGTGGTCTAGTCAGTAGTCTCTAAAGCATCAGACGTCAGCTGGCTTAGACACTGTGAAGTCAAAGTATAGTTTGTTGCTGTTCAGTCCCCAAGTTGTGTCTGACTCTTTGTGACTCCAGCAACTGCAGCACACCAGGCTTCCCTGTCCTTCACTGTCTCCCAGAGCTTGCTCAAACTCATGCCTGTTGAGTCAATGATGCCATCCAACCATCTCATCCTCTGTCATCCCCTTCTCCTCCTGCTCTCAATGTTTCCCACCATCAGGGTCTTTTCCAATAAATCAGCTCTTCCCATCAGGTGGCCAAAGAATTGGAGCTTCAGCTTTAGCATTAGTCCTTCCGATGAACACCCAGGACTGATCTCCTTCAGGATGGACTGGTTGGGTCTCCCCTGCAGTCCAAGGGACTCGCAAGAGTCTTCTCCAACACCACAGTCCAAGAGCATCGATTCTTTGGCACTCAGCCTTTGTTATGGTCCAACTCTCACATCCCTTACATGACCACTGGAAAAACCACAGCCTTGACTAGACGGACCATTGTTGTCAAAAGTGATGTCTCTGCTTTTTACAGGAGTATAGTATATAAGGTACAGGAGTTGGTCACCAAAAAATGACTTCAGAGGAAGAACTGTCTTAACGAGTTGTGTTGCTGTTCCAAACACTCAGGCCGTCTTGATAGAACTAAATATAATCCGACTGGTATTTCTTAATTCAATAGTCTTCTATAACTTAACTTCCATAGTCTATGTAGCATTCAAATTTTTTTCCTGTTTTGTTGATCGTTGGATTTTGTAGTTCTTTTTGTTTAATTCCGAAGACGTTTTTATCTCTTAGTTTCCGTCAGTCCACCTATATCAAGTAAAGTAAGTCCCCTACATGTGAATGAGTTCCTTTCCAAGAGCACGTTCATGAGTCCAATTTGTTCATAAATCCAACAAATGTAGCCTAGGTGCCCATCTAACACAGTTGGCTATATAAAACTGTACTGTAATAGGTTTATAGTGCTCTTCACACAAATAATACGTAAAAAAAAAGAACTAAAAACAACCAAAACATTTCACCCTTACAGCACAGCAGCCTGAAGAGCACTGTGGTCGAGGACAGCAGCGGCCCGGGCTGGCATCTGGTGAGCAGGCAGGAAGAGCCCTGACTGGAGGGCGCGGGAGTGGGCCCCGCGGAGGGGCCGGGGGGCCGGGCAGTCGGCGCAGACGGAGGCGGGGGCGCAGCAGCGCTCGTGCTGACCTCGATGGCGTGGGCCTGGTTCCTGCTGGAACCGATGCACGTTCGCACCTCTCACAGTTCCGGACCTGAAGTTTTATAGCAGGTAGCTTACGGTACATGCCACGTGGAAAGTCCTCGACTAGACAGTATTAGGAGTCACAGAAATAAACAAGGCGCAATCGTTACCCTTCAAAGCAAATGCAGTCTAGCTGGAGAAACAGGACATGAACTGGGATACCTTCACGCAAGGTCAGACGTTACACCGTCGTAACAGAAACCTGAGTGCTATGGTTCTGGGCATGCAGAAGAAACAATTGATTTCTGATTGCAGTGTCAGGGCGGGACACAAGATCTGAGCCCAGGACTCTCTGACTATCCTTGCCACAGCAGAGACGACAACACGACCCAGTTATCGCCACCACAGGACCCCGGCCTTGGCCACAGACAAGTGGGGTGCTGCAAAGGTTTTGTTTAAGCCTTGCAACCATGGACCCATGCGAGATTAGGAAATAAACTGCGAGTTTCTCCCCAAGACTGACCAGCGAGTGTTCCGGGGACCCAGAGGGAATCAGTCCAGTGAAAGGGATTTTAGAATGGTCACTTAATACACATTCCTCTCCTGTATAATCTTCATCGGTTGATATCATCCTTCTTAGAAGTATAATTTTTAACTATATATCTTATAATACTAAATACTTAAGTTTGCTTAGTATTTTTAGCAAATTGATATGACGCAAGGTTGTCACACATTATGTAGGGACTGTAGTCAGTTCATATTGCTCTATTGAATTATGGCACTATTTTTGATTCTGTAACAAAAGATTATGAGAGAATAACATACGGTTATTTCTAGAATAATTCAAAATATGTAAAACAAACAAATCTGTTTTGTCCAAACCGTTTTCACTCATACTTTTACTTTCACGAGAAGCCTTGAAAATAGTTTTCCAGTTCAAAGGAAGCTATTCTAGCAAAGAGAAATTATGAAACAATTTACCAGTTTTATGACTTGTATAAAAAATGTTACTTCTACTCTGTATTGTGCATCTAAATCTGCATAATTCTAAAAATGGACCTTTAACAGCAATATGAAATATAGAATGGTATGTTTTTGTGCATGAAGCAACATATATTTATGGAAGCAAAATACATGCAAAGTTTTTATTGCAGAAGGGCCAGATGTCAAAACATCTCAGCAACGAGACGATATATTTTGACACTGGTTATTTATGGGCCAACAGTATATTGCGATAAAACAGAAGGCATACATTTTCAAAAGCAATGTCCCCATTCTGTTCTCAAATTAATCATCTTTAGAGTGTTCCAAATCATAGACATATAATGATGCTTGGCTCTGACAGTGTTGATCATGGGATTTTCCTATAACCACGTTAATCAAGCAAAATCACCTGTCAGAAAAGCAGTTTGAAGACTAATTCCATCGCATATAATGGGCAAATCATAATATTGATGGTTCTCAAAAAAATGTCACTTATACTTTGACTTTGGAGCTGAGTCCTGGGACAACTTATTGTGATGGACCCTTAGCTTACATATTTTAACAACCGACAGCCTGTTATACAGAGTGAAGTAGGTCAGAAAAAGAGAAATAAACATAGCATATTAATGTATCTATGTACGGAATCTAGAAAAACGGTCCTGATGAGCCTGTCGGCAGGGAAGGACTGGAGCCGCAGACGTGGAGCGCGGACTTGTGGACATAGTGGGGCAGGGGCGGGTGGGACAAAGAGGGGAAGCGGCATGGAGATATACACGCCGCCAGGGGTGAGCCAGCACAGGAGCCCAGGCTGGCATCTGTGATGACGCGGGCGGGGGCGGGGGCAGGATGGGGAGGGAGGGAGGCAGGAGGGAGGGGATGTACGTGCGGTTCCGGCTGGTTCACCTTGTCCTGGGCTTCCCCGGTGGCTCAGATGGTAAAGACCCACCTGCAGTGCAGGTGATCTGAGTTCCATCCCTGGGTCGGGAAGATCCACTGGAGAAGGGCAAGGCTCCCCACTCCAGTATCCTAGCCTGGAGAATTCCATGGACTGTATAGTCCATGGGATCGCAAAGAGTCAGACACGACTCAGCGGCTTCTACTCACTCACTCACTCACGTTGTTGTATGACTGAAACCAACACAGAATTGTAAAAGTTAAAAAACAAAACAAAACACCATAACATAAAACAAACAAAAACCGATGGAAAGAGCCGACGCCGAGGAGTGTGAACCCAACAAACTGCTCGACACGCCCGGCTTACACGCGCAGAGCCTCTGTGGTTCTCAGCAGACGCTCAATAGGCGTCCACCGAGGGGCCCACCTCTGCCGCTCTGCTGAAACAGCGTGAGCCGGGGCCCGCTGCCCTGCGGCTTCTGCTGATGGTCATTTCGCTGCCAGGCTCACAAGGGAGCCTCGGGAAGCAGAAACTCTGTCCACTGGCGGAGAACGCCCTCAGCCGCTCTATAAAGACAGCATTGACAGAGTCATAGAAACCAACAAGGCATCATCACTCAAAATCTCCTTTGTGAAAAAAGTGACCCAAGAAAGAGTGTGCGGAAACAGAAAGTTCATGGAGAAGGCAAAATCATAACGATGAGTATTTCTACCACATACATCGAAACATAGGGGGAATGAGTTCTCCTCAAAAATTCTTCCCTAGCAGAGGAGTTATCTTTATTTAAGTCTTTATGAAGTTGTAATAATATTTGGGCAAACTTTCTCAATGGTTTTATTTTTTAAAAACAAAACTTTGGGGAAGATGCAGTACCATAAAATAGTGCCAATCAATGGTAGGTTAATGTTTGTAGAGGTCACTTGACAGAATCAGTAAGAAAATGTTTTAAAACTTGTTATACATTTTAACAATTACAGCATTAGTAATTAGTATTAATAGAACCATTGCATCGTTGGGATGT